GTTTCCGTGACTGACACTATGATCTATTTGCCCATCCGCCCAAAAGATTCATTGGGGTAACATGGGTTCAAACCTTCAGCTTTCCATCGCGGCGAGAGAGACACGTATCATGTGAAATGGGTGTGTCTTCTTTAGCGTACCCTCAAAACGAAACATCAACAAACAGATAGGTGTTTCTTTTGGTTCCCTTCAAACCACCCAAAAAGGGCTCCATCAAAAAAGACACACATGGTACTGCTCAGTGGGAAAAAAAACTGTCGAACCTTCTCACTTCTTAACCTGGCTGTCTGGACGCCTGGGGATGTGCTGAGCCGTCTTGAAAATCGTTCAAGTCTCCGGCCAAAGATTCGGACATGACTTTGCATGTTTTTGAAGCTGGCTCAGCCTCCCTACCGAGCAGGGGCCACACTGCTCCATACTGTTTGCTCAAGACACAACAACACAATATAGTGCCTGCTCAAGAAACAATAGAACAAAGAAAGCCAACTGCAGGGGTCCGTTTTGATGAAATGATAGGGATCCGGCAAAGTGCATCCCACTTCATATGAGGTTCAAGTCCGCCAAAGTTTCTGCGGATCTCCTCTTCAGGATGCAGGATTTTTAGCAATCACACGAGGCAATGAATACATCATTCTTGTCCTCCAATCTTGATTTCTACTAACCTCGGGGCACAGTCCAAGCTTTCCAGTTGTAGCCCCCTGGTCTATTACCCTTGCTATCAACAGTTCACAAAGCCCCTTTGAATGCGGGTCCCCACTCTGTGGACCTCTCGACAGTGCTTCCGCTTCAAAACCAGATGCTTTGGCACCCGCTTTGCGGTTTCCTAATAAGGAGTCGGACATGGCCAAAGACATTTGGGTCTGTCTGCTATTCGGGGATCCCCCAACATGGCTTCGGCTTTCCGTTTGGTTTCCCCCTAAAACCACCAAACCCAGGGGTACCGTTAAAAAAGAAAAGAACAAGAAAAAACACAACAGCACAACACACAACACACACGCACACATTTGAACGTGGAACCTCAAAGGCCCCGGAACTCCCTGGCAGGCCATACTTTTTGCCAGTAAACCAACCACACGGTTGGCGTAACTATGGACAGTCAACCTGTGAACCATGGTAAATCAACCGGGATAAAACAAACCTATATATATATATATCCGGGGGATCACGCCGTTCCTTCCTTTCCAGGGCGCTGCACGGAATTGAACTGCTCGGCTTTCTCATGGCTCTCCGGCGCGTAGAGCGCCGGGTACTTCACGTTGAACTGCTTGCGCGCCTTGACCTGTGAGAACATTGAGGAGCCGGGCAACTAAACAATCCAGACACACACACACACACCGTGGCGCGGGGCAGCCAGAAAATCAGCTTTCCTCCTACAGGGGGGGGAACTTCCCATATTCCACCAATTGGAAGTCTCCTGAAAGAAGACACACACACAAAGCATCGGCGGGCGGGTCTTCTATTATCCTAGGGAGAACAACAACAACTTGAGGCCCGAAACCATCCAACCAACCAAACAACTGAAGTACTTGAGCAACGGGCCAACCAACCTACTAACTTCGCGACCTACCAACCGAGTAACCGACCGAACAATCTGGCTGCCGAAGCCGCCGCAGGATTCGGCAACGCAACTGGAAGCAAAGAAGTCGCGCTCGGACAGATGTCCAGAAATCCGTGCAGCCAAACGGTTGCCAATACACATGGCTTTTCTCTGAGTGGATGAACAGGCTGGTCACACGCGCGCCCGTGTGTTTCCTTTCTCTTCCCACGAGTGACCTCGAAGGATCGGATCAGGTCGCCCTTTGGTGATCCGAAAGGGATTCGGAGTTGGTTCGCACTGGGTCGTGACGGAAAAGGGGAAACGTCGTTCCCCGTTTCGGTTACCAAGTCCCCCGTTTCATTCCCCAAAGCCCATGCAAAAGACGAGAACCGGCAATGGAGCCCTCCCCATTCTTGGAATCTCATGCTGTTTCAGGCGAAACAGAAACGGAGTTGATGAGAACGTGGCCAAACAAATCTTTGAGTAATCAGGTATCCACCCGTTTTTGAGTAATCATAGTAATCAGCGATCTCAGGAAACAGCCATTGAAACGGCAACGAAAAAGCTCCCTGATCGCACACAATTTCCAGGTCAACTTTTCCTGTCTTGGCATGTGTTGCTCGTTCAGTCATTTGGACGCATTGACAATTGGGCACCCTTGAAATGCTGCTGGATGGACGAAATCCACCTCGCACCATTTTGAAACCATTGGAAACCATTGTTTGTTGGTATGCACCAGGGACAGGGGTTTCTTAGATGGTTCAGGATTTCGTCCATCCACAGTAGGTCGCCAGTGTATTTCCTCTTCCTCGGTCCCTGGTGAGGCACATGCAGGATATGCGCCAACGGAAAGCACTAGGTCCCCCTGCGACATTGATGGTCAGGTAGAAGTTGGAAATCCAGGACATGCAGTGGGCGAGCACCACATAGCCGAAGGCATCAGGAATCTCGATCGCCATTTCTACTCGCTGTACCGGGCCGGATCCTGCAAAACTAATCTTTGAGCCTAATGCAGCAGGTTGCCCAAAGCAAGCCAGCCCATGGATTGGGCGAAAGCAACAACGCCGCAACAGCACGGCCACTGTCGAGAAGAACCATTGTGTTGCGGTGCTCTCCGAGAAAATCGGAGAGCAATTTGTAGCAAAATCATGTTCACTTTTCAGGGGTAATAATACAATGAGAGAAAATCTGTGAACTCAGCCAAATGAAGCCTTCAAAACACTCAACTACTGCTTTGCCCGCATCCGTAAGTTCCATCAAGCCTGTGGACAGCTCGCGGAAAACGAGGCATGGAGTTCCTTTGGGACGCCGTTTGCTTGGGAACATTTGGGTGTGTCTTTCTCTCACTTCCCGAGTCGATGGTCCAGCCAAAATCTGGGCTTTTTGTTGGCCACTAAAATGGTCTTCCCAAAAAGTGTAAAGTTCAGGAACTCGGGAGGTGAGTTCTTTTGTTGAAGGTCCCCCTTGTTGGCAGTTCTAGAGGGAAACCAGAAGGAAACTGAAGCCATTCTGGGGGTTCCCAAAATGAGTGTCGCACCTTGTCATCTCTTCAATATACACCACACGCGGACAGAACGAACACAGAGTATGAGCGGCATTGAAACCAACAAGCCACAAGCAAATGAGGCGTGTCAGCTTCTCTGCACTGAGCCCCCCTGCCATCAGCCGGGTCTCGATCAGTCCAAGCCTCAGGCGCGGCGTCCGGCGCTGACCTTCTTGGCGTTCTGTGATTCAAATATGATGAACGCAGGCATGAAGGACTCCTACCGATAGGATTCGTAACCATGCTCCATTGCGAAGTTTGGGCTGCCGGCACAGAGGACATATTCTCAGGAACTTCGAGGCATGCGTAGTCCGGAGAAATGCACGCGTGTGGATTCAGATTCACGTGACTCGTTTCTCGTCTTTTGAGGCCCTTCCTTGCTGGCTCACATGCCATCTGCCTTTCTTAGGGGCGGTAGCCTTGCGCACCATGACACGGTTTTGTTTGAAGTGAACTAGACTGCTCAACACACCGCCAACTTGAGCCCACTCAATAATGATACACCTCCTTTGTTGATAGCACCCTCTATTGTAGCATTGTCTTTGCAATTCAGGATCTTGTGACTGTTTTGGGGTCCTGAAACCAGGCAGTACGCCCCCCTTTCTTTTGGCAGCACCCTAATGTTGGATCCTCTGCGCTCGCTACTAGTGAAACCAGTCAGTTGGACCCTCTTTAGGCAAAATCTTGTGGGTCTGGGAGAGAGTACTTACTTTGGTATTGCCAATTCTACTTTAGTATTGCCAAGGCTGAGTCTCAGATTCCCAGTACGTACTTTAGTATTGCCAATTCTACTTTAGTATTGCCAAGGCTGACTCTCAGATTCCCAGTACCTACGTTAGTATTGCCAATTCGACTTTAGCGTTGCCAAGGACCGCTTTTTCCAGCAACCCCTAAAAACGTTAGACACTAAAGAGGACTCCAAAACAGTCACATTAAAGAGGATCAGGGCCCCTTGTGGGCATCCCCCTTTGTGTGACTGCTTGCCCATACTTTTTTGTAAAGAAGTTATCTTAAATTTGATGGTTTGGGGGTCACTGGCAAAATGAACTTCCTAGATCCAAGGCCTTTACACTTTGAGCTGGGAAGAGCTTGGTTAGGTGAACCACCCTAAAAGTAAAAGACTAAGGCTTGAGTCTAATAATTTCAGCAACCCCAAAAGCCTTTGGACACCAAAGAGGACCCTAAAACAGTCACATTAAGGAGGATCAGGGCCCCTTGTGGGCAACCCCCTTTGTGTGATTGTTTGCCCGCACTTTTTTGTAAGGAAGTTATCTTAAATTTCATGGTTTGCGGACCACTTCAAGAATCCTTATGTTTGCCAGGATTTGTTGCGAGCTCGACTCCTTTGCCAAGTTTGTTTGGCTCATATGTTTTCGGAGGCTTCGTCCAGCCTGAGCCAGACAAGATGAGGAGAGTACAAAACCATTTTTTTGTTTTTCCAGGGGAAAATACTGCAATTGAATTCTACCTCTTCAGCCTGATGACTGCAGTTTGCCTTGAAAGAAAGGTGCCATCAGCCCATCAACCCTGGCTCTGCCAGAAACATGATTACGTGCCATGCACAAGAGAGTTGATGACAATCCATAGCAAACAGCAAACCATTTGAACATCCATGGCACACCCGCGCCACACACACATATAGATATATACACTGTATAGCACGTACATTTGTATGGACACAAACACATCATGACTTGGTGAGCTGGTTCTACCCAAGTAAGATAAACGTGGGCCCAGGGCAAAGTCATGGCACGATCCTTTTTTCAGCTCAAGATAGCTGTGTCGGTGCAGACAGCCCTTGCGGCCTCCCAACAGAGGCTAGCACAAGAGCTAGACGCACGCCCCAAACCAAGGAAAGCAACACAACGGCAGCTGCAAGAACATAAGCAACTTTCTTTGCCACATTGGATTTCATTCTGAGCAGTGGAAGATCTGTGCAGCTTCCAAGGTGTCGCAGAGTCCCCCAGCAAAGGGGGGGCACTGTTGCTTGCTTCCCCAGCAAAGGGGGGGCACTGCTCCTGTCAGGAATTGCCGGCTGGCTCAAATGTTAACCTCAGAGTTGTCGACGGCAGCGAGCTTCAGAGAAGCATCCTTGGCATGATCTCCCAATCGGACGGGGAAAAACAAACGGAGGGGAACCCTGGCATTCCTTTGGGAGCATGTGTGCTCAATTAATCCGCAATCCGGAGTGGGACACAAGGGAAACCACTATCTTGAGAACTTGATGACTAGAAACATAGCCGAGCAACTTTACGACGGCACGCTTAAATTCATGACTGAACCTCGAAGACACCACTGAGCTAGCTCCCCAGTTGGAACTTGAAAGGATTCAGAGCAGGAATGCTTCCCAAGTCTATTTGATGCTTGAATCCTCTTCAAGAGGAAACCTGCTATTCGACCAACTCCTTTCTGAACATGCCAGCTTTGGACCATTGATGTAGACGACCCCCCCCCTCCGGTTGATTGTTTGGTTTAAACTCAACTTGTTGAGATCTGCGCCTGGAAGAACCCCGTTGGATGTCAGGCGCCTGACTCGGCTGACTAAACACTGCAAGTCGCGGCGTCTTGGAAGATCCACCCATCTTTTTCATTGCTTGCGCAAATGTGGCTGGCACATGCCTTTGACACAAGGAAAGACCCAGGGAACCAACGGTTTGGAGCGGCCCCTGAAAGGCACAAACTCCGATCAAGTACTGCGTCCAGTTGTACATCAAATAAAACCGCAGGTGGCTTTTACAGACTGTCATGGGGCTGGGGGGGGAGGGGTGGATCCGAAATATTTGGCCTTAAGGGCTTGAGAGCTAGTTTGGGCTCCCTCCTTTCAGACCCCATGGGACGGCATCGGGCGTGACAACGACAATGGCAACTGCGCGAGCTGGTCAAAACTCGGTTTGTTTGGCCGATTGGGTCATGGTTCCCAAAATAAACATCATTATAAGAGTTAAGGATCCTTCCCAGGTGCATGACCATCCCTGGCAAAACGTCACGTCAAACCGGTCTTTTCACCACATGGTAATCGCATTTGCCTTGAGCCCGGCTGATCCGGGTAGAGCGGCTTCCGGGCTCTTGTGCCCAGGTTCCGAGTCTGGGTAGATGCAGACCCCCAGCAGGCTGGACAGGTGCACACCTGAAATGTGGGCATGGGAGGGCATGGGTCATTTTGAGTCGGGGCCACCAAAACTATTGGTTTCCCTTTGCTTTCCCTTGAAGCCAACCGCGAAAAGGGTACCCTCAAGGCATCGATTCGCCGGGTCGATGGTCTCTGGAGACGTTTGCTGGTGGCATCTTGTGGACGGGGACACGGACACCTTGCTATGTGAAACCCATCAGTTTCCAAGTACGGATGAAAAGGGTTCCCTAAATCTCAGAGCTAGGATCAAAAGCGAAAGCGATCCCATGCTAGATGAGCCACTCGCTAAGGCCCCACAGAGTCGAGCAAGGCTGCAATCATTGCTAGCCTTACCGTCTGTTTGAGCCCCACTGCAAGCAGAACTTTTTTTGCTGCCAGAACCTCCCTGAGTTGCCATTGCCCTTCCCAATGGGGGGTTGCGCCTTCCGACAGTTTCAACGGCCCTGTCACTCTCCCTGAGGCCGTGGCATTTGGAGCCGCTGGGGCAGCCCCCGAGGATGCACGCGAGGGCGCAGTACTTGTCCCCGCTGCTGGAGTCCTCTCCCATAGGGTGTTCGAAAACAAGCGGGGCCGATACGGCTGGGGGCCTTTTTAAGGGGGTGGAATTTGGACCACACTTCCTGCAGGATGCACATGGGCTTGGCTGTGGTGCCGCTGGGCACATCCGTGGGGCAGGCCTGGGAGGTGCCTCAGATTCTTGCTGGCGCGAAAGCAACACGGCGCTGACTTCTGGGCTTCAATCCTGAAGACAGTGCTTGCTGGTCAGTGGGGCATGACAGTGTGTTGAGACTGGATCAGAAGCGTATTCCGGGATTCCCTCAAAGGAAACCATAAGGATGGTTTTTGGGGGTCATTCCCTCATTTCCTTCTGAGAACCAGCAAACATGGCAAGGATCAAATTTAGATGATGAAACTCCCCAAGAGGGTAAGCAATGGCAGTATTAACTCCCCAATTGTTTCTACAGAAAACAGAGACGTAGAAATGGGATTGGTGTTGCCTTCAGCAAACTCGACTCCATAACTTTTGCTTGATCCACTTAGAGGGGACATAAGGGAAACTTCTTAGACAACGCTTTCTATGTCAATCATGAGATGGCCCCCCCTCCCCACAACGGGCCAACCCCGCAATCTCTGGAACACGTGCGGCAAAAAATCCTTAGCTGATGGCTGCTCCACTGATTGACATGGAACTTCCTCACATAGACTGCTGATTCCTCACACACCCGATTGACATGCCCAGCAAACCGCTTGTGATTCGAGTCTCCTTATGGGGGTTACGGCCCGCGTTGTAGGGGCCCCAGTGTCGGCAGCTCAAAATGGTCAGAGCCAGAACCTCTGGTGCTATCAGAGTTCCAGCCCAGAGCAACTGCTATCGGAACCAAGAAGATTTACTCACACTGGAATATCCCCACCTTTTGAAACATACTACGCTAAGCATGTATGTGCATGCATGCTATGCGCTGCCATGCAATGGAATGAAATGGAATGGAATGCGATGCATCAAATGCATGTAATGCAACGCAACTAATGCATGTAATGCAATGTAAATACCGCATGTAATGGAATGTAAATAACGCATGTGTATAATGCAATGTACATAATGCATGCATTTTTTTCATGCAGAATATACAAATGAATCATGCATTTTACCATTTGTACAGGTGTTATGCATCTGCTTGCTTGGAGTGCAGATAGTTGACGACTATAGAAAATCCACAATGTAACTCGGTTGCTTTGTACATCTGCGTGGAATGCAAGTAGTTGACACCGAGATCCATCCCGCAACTCCCTTTTCAGAGCAATCCTCTCGATCAGCGCCATCGATGGTCCAATGCTGGCGATCTCAACAAGGTATCACTATCATCACCCGAGCTTCCTTCAAGAACAATGCAGGCATCGCAAATGTCCAAACTATGCAGAACAACAAGCCGTCTGTGTGGCTTTTGCCCCTGCATAAAATGTTCAACGTTTGTGGGACAACACACACACACACACATTTGCCCAACAAGTTCGAGGTTAAAGATCCAACAAGCAGTGCAAAGATGGCCCAACGCTTCGTCAGTCGAACCGGTGGCTCAACAATCGAGTGCACAACCCCAAACATGTTGAAACAATTACAAGACCTTCGGTCCGAGCCAAATTCTCAGCAGGGCTGTGGGACATGATCACTGCTGTGATACAACAAAAAGGGCTTCCCAAAGACTAGCCGCCTTTTTTACGGGGGATATTCCCTTGTATCAGGACTTCCCAAACACTTACTCGCCTTTGTATCACAGTGACACCCCTTCATCCCACAACAAGCAGTATGCGTTCCCAGCGGCACTTGGGAGCGCAAACGCTGCCTCCGGCGCCCTCCACCTCTGCCTGAGTCTCGTCGCTCTGGCAGGGGGGCTTCTCGTAGTGGCCTCGGATGGGGAAATCCCTGGGTAGCTTGGGCTACCCTCACAAAAGCCCCAAGTGGAGTTGGCACTGTTAGAGTGTTTTTTTTCCTAAACCAGGTGGCTAACCACCAACTCCACTCTCTAGTCTCCACCAAAAAAAAGATATGGAACCATCAATCGAATGGTTCTCCACTTTCCCCCAAACTCATTTTTGAACAGGAAGCCGAGGCAAAGCCTGCGTCTCTATCTCGAAGTGCCTCCCCAAAATTCCCACGCTTGTTTCAGACGCTTGGGAACAGGTCCAAGCATAGGTGTCCTATTGGGAAAATTGATGGCCCTAGATGATTAAATCGGGTCTACCAGGGCCCTTTATTTCTCAACTAATCTGAACAACAAGGACCAGTCGTGGATCCACCCCCTCCCAGGCAACGATCGTTTTTCCGCGGTCTTAAAAGAAGAAACACCGTGTGCGTTGTATTTCCTCTTATTGGAGGCTTGCGCCTTTTGAAGCCGCGGGTGGAGTTTGTATTCATCGTGCTTCACTTCCCGGCTTCAGCAATTCCTTGGGTACCCTCCCAAAGACTAACATACGTGAGAGAGGGTTCTTTTGGACCAGGCGGCCTCATTCAGATTCCATGCTTGCTTTTGGCAGGATTCTGCAACTCAGTTCACGGACGGCGGAAACTGTCCGCGGGCGATTTGGTTTGCAGCGATAAAGGGCTTAAGATGACTCCTTGCCAGCAAGAAGAGGGGTCCTTGGCCGCACGACTTTACACATACAAATCAGAATGTAAGGGGCGATGGAGAGCTTTCCTGCTCTCCCTTTGGCTCGTACCTTCTACCCCAGCTGTAGTACTTGATCCATCAGAAACTGACAAATCTGTGCTTCCAGAGTCGGGGTCAAAGCATGCTGCTCTCCTTTTTGGACATGTAGCGAGCGCCCTTCCGATTTTGTTGATCGCAGTACTCCGCCCATGCCTTTTGCAAAGACACCCTATATTGATGATTCTTACCATTCCTCATAACGGTGACAGAGACCATCGTTCTGAGCAGACCGTACTTCATTCGCTCGACTAGGCTCGGGTCCAAACGTTTCGCTCAGAAAAAGCAAGACATTTAGGCGCCTGAGCACTTCTGCTAACGGAACTTCATTCAGAACAGAAACAAATGGAAAGGGCAGCCTGGAAGCAATCCAAATGGAAAAGCGAGCAGTCGAGCATCTCATCATGGATATGACGTTTAATTGGGGACCTTGTGGTGGGCATCATTTATGTGATACTCTTTCCTTAAACATCATAGCCACATCGGGACGCGACGTCCCATTTTGCCTCTTCTTGCTGGTTCTCAACAGGAAATGCGAAATGGAACTTATACACCATCGGTTTCCTTTCGGGTTCATTCTATTTCTCATTCCGGGGCTATGGCTCAAAACCCCGTACCCCCAGTGAACATCCCAATCCCCCCCTAAAATAGACTAAAATGGGTGGTGCACCTACCCCCAAAATGGTACCATTGGTTTCGACCCACAGCCCCCTACCTATGCCACCAGCAAGTCTTCTCCCAGAACTCCGAGCCCAGCGGCTTGTGGAAGGAGTGGGCGGGGCCGGCGGGGCCGGCGGGGCCGGCGGGGCCGGCGGGGCCGGCGGGGCCGGAGGAGACGGCGGGGACGGGGAGCCGGAGACCACCGGGTAGGAGGCCTGGGGCCCAGCTTACCCACACCGCAGTTGGCCCAGGATTTTTGAAGATCCCGAGCTCCCATCAGATCATTCCAACATCGAGCCCTTGCTTTCCCTTTTCCCAGGTCCAATCTCCAGGTTCCCCCCCCCCCCCGGCAAAACACCATTCGACCCTTTCTTCCCCCGGCATCAACCTCCCCCCATTTTTTTTGGACTCCCGCCCGGGGAATCCCCATGGCACCCCCTCCGCCCATCGCGCCCGCTTCTCGCGCCCGCTTCTCGCGCCCGCTTCTCGCGCCCGCTTCTCGCGCCCACCGCGCAAATCGCGCAACGCCACGCCTGGGACTTGATGCCGCACTCCCCGGGGCCCGGCTTCCCCCGCTGCAGCTTCACGAAGCCCTGCTCGCCCCAGCTGGCGCCCCAGCTGTTCTTCACCTCGCCCCAGGCGTGGCTCTGGTGGAGGGGGGTACCCCGAGGGCTCCACTTGCGGCGAGAAGAAGAGAAGATGGTTGAACCCCAGGCTTTGGCCCCCGCAAAAAGGAAGCCAGTTGATGGTTTATAGGGGGCATTCCATTTCTCAGGCACCAGCAAGTTCAAAAGGAAACCAGTGAGTACAAGGCCATGTTTTCTTTGCAAGCCAGACATGTTTCGTGTTTTTGCAGACACACATATATATATATATATATATAACCTACTTACAAAGTGGGTTGTCATTTCTTTCCGAATTCCAGAAACCACTGACATGCGGGGGGGGGGTTGCCATTTGGTGCGCCCTAACAATCTCTGCCCCTTTCAAAACGGCACCGTCCAAAAAGGGGCCATGCTTTTTCTCGGCAAGCCGCCGTCTGAAAGCGCAAAAAGACCTTAACCACTTCGTTGGACATTGTGCCAGGGCGATTTTTCGGGGTCCTTTTGATCGTTCAGTCAAGTCAAATTCCGACTCCTACGAACCCTTCAAATTTTGCAGCAGGGAACATCCATGCCCGTGTACTGCCTCACCTGCAAAGCAGATGGGAGCTTCATATGTTCCCCCTAGAAACATCATTTTATCCTTGGAAGCTTGGCCTAACTTTGGAAATATTCATCCACCCAATAGGTATGTTTCGAAATGGGCTGCAATTCGCATGGGTGGTTTCCCTTTGGTTTCCCCCGCAAACCACCTCCCCCGCGGGTACCGACTCTCACCAAAAAGCGCCCATGCCCAACGAAGGAGAGAAACATCACGAGAAACCCAACAAGAGAAACCAAAAAGGGGAACCCCAAAAAGGGAACCCCCCCCCACCAAAAAAAAAGGGAAACAAACAGGAAACCCCAAAAAGGGACCCCCCCCCCCACAAAAACAAGGAAAACAAGCAGGGAGCCAACAAATAAAAGGAAAATAAGCAGGGAACCCCAAAAGGGAACCCCCGAAAAGAAAAAAAAGAGGAAAACCAAGGAAATACGAGGTGACCCCTAAGTTTCAAAGGTGTTGGCTTTGGACGCTTCGGACACTTTGGACGTAGCGGCCAGCCAGTAGTCCGTGCCATCCTCAGTGCCGTAGCCCACCACCAGCACGCCGTGGTCCAGCTTGGTGCCGCAGGTCTTCGTCAAGACCCCGCTCTTGTACATCTGGAAGGCCATCTGGTCCGCCTGAGGGAACGAAACACGGCCCCGATGTGACGGGCGAAATGAGCGAAGTTGCGCACTTGTTTCCATGATGAGGGAATTGGGGTTCATGCCCCCTCGCAAGCCCGTTCTAGCTTTTGGGGGGCTCTGGGAGGGGCGCGTGAAGTCAAGGTTCGTGAATCGAGGGGACCCAAAAGCTTAGGCGTGGCAAAGCCTGTTGAGCGGCCGCCAAAGGCCCTCTGCAGCTGGAGCATTCTATGTTATGGCACTTGGTCTACAGAAGAAGCACATGAACACTGAAGGGGGGGGCAATCCATTTTTCAGCTTCGTGAACCCTAGCTACGTTAGCTGTGTACGCTGGTCTGGGCTTGCCTCGTGGACTCAAGTATCAGATGGACAAAATCCCTACCGATGGATGAAACCCTGACATTCACCAACAGGGCTGCGGGAAATGACCACTTCTGTGATACAAAAAGGGCTTCCCAAAAGACTAACCCCCCCATAAAAAGGAGATTCCCTTGTATCACAGAAGTGGGGATAAACCCCTTGATCCCACATCCCTGTTCACCAATGTCAACTGATGGCGTGGATTTTCTCCCGCATTAGTTGCCTGGCTCTCTGTTCCCAT